GCAACGATCCGATCGAGATATTTCAATCAAATTCGAGCTAAAATGGATGGCACTCGATCTACGATTTTTTATTCGTTTTCAAAAAGAATTGGAAATACTATCGTGTTTTTGGCATCGATGATCGATTAAAGCGGAGAAATAAAATCAGAGAGCTTTTAAACTTTTCGAAATTCGTTTCTCGTCGAAATTTCATAATTATTAGAAATATCTCTTTCTCTCTCTCTGTCTTTCTCTGTTTCGAGTTCTCTGTTTATCATTCAAATTGTTTTCTCATTTTGCGTGTACAAAAAAAAAACCTTTTTCACTCGTCCAATTTGTTGACGATAGAGGGGGAAAAAAATAGAGATTTAAATGTTCATTTATGAAAATTATGCAAGCACGATTCTCTTTCACACTAAATATTTCATAATCGATACTTTCTTACTTTCGTGAGATTAATTTTAGTATGAAACATTTATCAATAATTGGAAGATCAATAGTTGGACATTACACGAGCAGCCATTATAAATCGAATTCTCATCGTTAATCGGAAAGAACAGCGAAGTTCAAACGGTCGTATAAGTGCATTATCGAGCAGTCTGGCTTCAAAGTGAAAAGTTGCATTATCGAACACTTCCCTACTACGCTGTCAACGTATTTCATAAGATCACGCGCTACTGTAACTCGATTACATAATCGGTCGTGTAATTTCTATTTTACATATTCCGTTATATAACGAAACATAACGTCTGTCTACGGCGTTTTCTCGAAGATATTTTTATCGTGTATCCCTTCCAATCGATCGAGCAAATTCTTCGTGTAAAAATTGAAAAATCGATCGACGCTTCATTTCTATTTTGTTCGTCCAATTCGTCGGTTAGATTTACCGTTAACTCGTTTGAGATGATTCCACGAAAGATAAACGCAATTTTCCATCGATTTGATCGAACAATCGATCGAGCAAGTTTCAAGAATTGCGAATAAAGCTTGAAGCTTTCGATTTATGATCGAGCTTGCGAAAACGTGACTTGAACATCGAGGAGAAATCGTGACGAATAAAATGGCGATTTAAGCGTTTTTATTCTCTTTATGCTTTGAATGAACTCGGCCGAAAATGGAAAAGAAATCGTAATGCAAAAGTGAAACTGTTCCTAACATTGATATATTAAACCTTAATATACCGGGTGTCACAATTATGGAAAATATAATATGAATTAGAGTAAAATTTCGAATAGAAACGAAATAGACAAATAAAGTCACGAAATAAAAAATGAATGAAAGAGACTCGAATTAAATTAAATTCGTGCTTTTGTTTTCGAAATGAGATCGAAAAATTGCGATTACAAATCAATATTTAATATGAAATTTGTTTGAAAATTGTTTCGTTCTAAAGAGAAATTATCGATGGTTTAAAAAATTATATCGAATAAGAATGTTATTTTTTAAATTTTGAAATATTCAATAAAAAATTTCGTAACGTAATAAATTTCCTTCTGATAATTAATGTTTTGCGATTTGCAGATCTTTTATGCAGTTTCTTCGAGTTATTAATACATGCAAGAAAAATACTATTTCTCCGGAGACCGTGGATGTATTTATTCTTTTTTTTTGCGATTCATAGAAAGGAAATTGATAACGGTATAAAAATCATTCGATAATTTAGAAAGAAAAAAGTTTACGAGAGAAATGAACGTGTAACGATTTGTTTAATATCATAGAAAAGATAACCTACTTCTTATTTCATTTTATTAAAGTCAGTTGGCAATTTTAAGAAAAAAAATAATCTACCTTTACACTTAAGAAAATAATAACGCGTTCATTCTCTCAATACTTGAATCTTGTAATTATAAAACGTACGATGGTATAATTAAAATTAATAACAATCTATAATTTTCTTGCAATCGTGTTCCATATCGTGTTCAGCTCGAAAAATCTTCGTAAATACATAATGCACGTGACAACGTCGAATCTTCTCTAATCTTTTTCCAATGCTCTATCTTCTAACAAAAAAAAAAAAAAAAAAAGAAAAAAAGAAAAAAGAAATAGGAAGAAAAGAAAAAGAAAAAGAAGAGATTTTAGATTCAGTCGAGGCCAAGTCGGATCGAGACCATTCGTATCGTGCACAAATGGCATGGCGAAAGGTTGCAACACACGTAACTATCGGCTTGTGGCACTTTCGAAATTACGTCACACATCCATATCCAAAGGGGGATTCTCGATTCCTACCCACGAAGAATTTCATCAATCGGCTGCAAGGGCTCGACCAGGCAGCAGTCAGATCCGTCCGCGAAACGCGAACAACCAGTCGAAATCCAGTGAAAGTTTAATTGACAACAAGAGGCGCTTCAAACTTCTTCTTTTTCTTCTTCTTCTTCTTCTTCTTCTCTCCTCGGCGGAAAAAGAAAAAAAAAGATCTCCTACCATCGCGTGGCTCGTGTGCATAACACCGAGTTTCCCCCGGCCGGGCAGGCTACTGTCACTTTCAAGCCGACAGTCAAGCCGACACAAAGGAACGAGGTGATCGATTCCACGCCGCACCGAAAATAATCCTTGAGAAAGCGAGAAAAACAGTGGAAAATATTGGATAAATAATTTGAAGGAGATTGTGATTGATTCGAGGATCGAATTATTATCATCTGTTGATCCGTTCTGCTCAGAAATATACAATCGAAGAAGGAATAAGATCTGATTCGATCGCTTCGAGGATAATCGATGTTCCAAGAATATCCATTTTGTATACATACGAGAGTATGCATCGCCTGAAACGAGAGCTGCATCGAGAAGCCGCTTCAATCTGACGGATGAGCGACGGGCAAAATCGAATATCTGCTCGGGGAAGCTGGAGTCAGCGTGATTAAAGGTTTAATTAATCGGACGGAGAGAGAGGAGTGGAGTCAGAGTGGTTGCAGAGAGAGCTGGAAAAAAGGCGGCGACGAAAGAATCGTTCATCGTAAAAAGTTGGAAATCAGTGGTGGAAAGAAAGAAATGCGCGGAAGAAAAAATATAATCGTGAAACAAGCTGGTTGCGATCCCGAAACTCTTCTATTCCGATCTTTCGAACGATCGAAAGATACGAAGAAGTAAACAGAAGAAGAAAAGGGAAAACAACCTTTTCATCGTTGAGAGAATTGAAAGGAACGAATTAACGAGATAAATTATCCTGTCTTATCGCGTGTAGTTTTAATTGCAACGAGACAACAGGGAAAGTGAAATACAAAGAGATATTCGTTGGTCGTATTGCAGGAAGCAATAAGCGGTGGCCAAAACATATGCATGTAAACAAAACAAGAAAAGCAAAGATCCATTCGATTACTATTTACTCGATGGATTGCAACGTTGTTATCCCGCGGAAGTTTACATGTTATACATTCGTGACGGGAGCTTGCATCATCTAGACCTCCGCCAATCCAATTTTCACTCTCCCCTCCCCTCATTCTTTTTCTTCTCCCGAACGGGAGAGTGAATGAGTCGTCGAGTAGACGAACGGGCGGCGATCGAAAGTTGATCGAAAGTGAAAAGAGGAATCAGAATGCTGGCCTACGTGTCGAGTATCATCACGACGTTGTTGTTGGAGGGTGAAAGGGTCGTCCCTGGACAGGAGAAGTACAACATGGCGACGTTCATGGTGCTCTTCCTCTTGATCACCATCGAGGTTGTCGTCGTGAAGGTTGTCACATCCGACATGGAAAGGGACGAGGAGAGCCACGCCGGTTTGAGAGCTGCTGCCACTTTTTTCGACCGGGATTGATCCTCTGATCGTCCTCGTTTTTTCCATTCCATCATCATCGTGTCACGAGGAACGATAAAAAAAATCGTATCGTGACAGACATATAAAGTGACGAATTAGTGATTTTTATCGAACGAATTTTAATTTCCCCCACGATTTAAATATTCTGCTCGACGCACGATTTTTAATCTAATCATTCCTTAATGTAAGAGAACGAGAGTGGAGTGCATATATATCATACATTATTAATAATTCGTTATTTAGTCGGTTACAGGAAACTGATAAGACTAGAGGAATTAAAAGGAAATTCATGCTTCGTTTATAACTCTTGCAAAAACAAAAAAAAAAAAAAGAAAAAAAATTTGCATCCGTTTTTTTATTCTTCTTCATTCTGGAAATCAACGTCTTGATAATTGGACGGGCGAAAGTGGAACAAGGATTCTTTCGGAAGAAATCGTTCGAGAGATCCGATTCCCTGCTGCGGCTTCGGAACAGATCGAAAGGCGCGAAAATTATTCTCTAACGTGTTGCGTTGCGTAATCGAGCGGTTGTCATGGAAAGTTAGCTGGATTTGATATATACACGCAAGAAAGCATTTCGAAAGTATATTTATTTAGACTTGTTGGGTTGTTACGTAACGATGCATGCGAGTATTGCGAAGTTTTAAACTGTGCAACCACTGTGTCGATGTAATTAAACCAACACGCCTATAATAATCGCCCAGGCTTGGGCATTTTTTGTCATTATCTTATCTTTTTCGGCTACCATTTTCATTTCAATCATACCTTTTTTTATCTCATCTCTCTTAATTTCTTGTATATTCTTAATTTCCCTTAGAAATCGTAGTCGATTCTTCGTTAAAAAAAATTAAAGCTACCTTTCTTACTATTATTCAATGAAACAAGCGATATTATATTATATAGATGAGTCCTTTCAAACGATTCTGTGCCCGAGCCTGTGGTATTTTTACGCGTCTAAGTTACATGTTTTTAGGAAGATGTTCAATTGTAAACGTTGGTGTGTGTAAGTAACACGTATATATCGAGGTCATTTTATGATTATATAATAAAACTCTTTAATTCACCTGTATCTTTTAATGCTATTCCTTATCATTTCGACCGAGATGTAGCGATGAAATGTAAATAAGTAAGGAAGTAGTAGTAGTAGTAGTAGTAGTAATAATGGTAACAATGGATAGAAGAGGTAATAGGTAAACAGAAAATTTGACGCAATTTCAAAATGTGATCGTCACATAAAGTATTCATCTCTAATAATAATTTATTTAACGTTGCAGGAAATCGGGAGATTCGAAGGAAGAGGACAATCGAATTGCCGTGGGCGAGAATCGTTGCGCCTGTTGCCTGAGGCCGCTTTATCTGGGCCGTGGTGGGGTTCGTTGCAAGGATTGCGGCGAAAAATCGTGCAGAAAAGGCTGCTCCCGTTTCGATCCTTCGGACAACGCTTGGCGTTGTATCTTTTGTCGTCAACAAAGGTTCTCGCAAAGATTGTGTTAATTCTACCGAGATTTGGCAATTCTTCCAACGTGTTATTATTTTCCGATTGTTATTTTGTTATTTTGTTTAACGTAATTTTCAACGTGCGACGTGTAAAATGCAATCGTTTTTTTTTTTTAACGAAAGAAGCGTGAAAGATTTATCGATGAAAACATTGTCAGGAATTGGTTGGAGAGGCACGGACTCGAGGCGTTCGGTGGACCGATCAGTCAGGAAGATCTACGTTTGTACTTCGATACGGCAAAATCAAGGATTTGCGTAGCAGGTTTGTTCATCGAATATGAATATTTCGATCTTTCGATTTTTATTAAATTTAGTTATTTTTTTTTTTTTTTGTTTCATTAAAATTAATTCAACATTGCCAAAATTGTCTCTCAATCTCTATCGAAAAGCGCAAAGGTTTAATTCGATACTATTTCGCATTTTTTTTAATCGTATACGATTCTGCTATTGGAAAACCACGCGTAACAGTGGTTCTCAACCAACAGCGGATCGCGATACGAGAAGGAATATTCAATTACACAACATGGAAAGGTGATCACGTGATTGAAAAAAAGGAATAATAAGTAGATTTGAGAGGAAATGTCTTCGATTCTCTTTTCATCTTCGCTCATTTGCATCGATTCTGAAAACTGTTCTGAATCGTAAAAATCGTTATAAATTTTCGATACTCCCGATTATACATGGCGTGAATTATCGTTTCTCTCTCGTCGATAGGAAAATCGTTGTAACGTAATCGTTACGATTGTGTACTGGAATTGTGTCTGAAAATCATTATACGAGAAATCATATTATATAAAAAAGAAGAAGAAAAAAAAAAAGAGACTCGTGTCGAGAAACTGGTTTCCTTGTGAAAAGCGATGCAATTATTTCAATTAATACGTGTTTGTGTAATGGAGAAAAAAAGCAGGAGGACAAACTTGTTTCGTAGCTCTACGTGTAATTGTTACAGAACGATTTATTGAGATCTATATATATATAAAAAAAAAAAGAAACGTTTCGCTCTTAGAAAAAGTTTCGTTAAATTTGATTGAACAAATTGCACGAAGAAAACCTTTCAGTTAATCGATCTTCTTCTTCTTCTTCTTTCTTCACGTTTCTTTTAATATTCTTTATATTAATAAAATTGTCAAAAAGATCCTTAAACCTGTTGAACGAAACTTAATTCCAAGATTCAAAGAAAAACGACAATTTTTCAGAAGCAGAATCAAGGCAGGGAAATGGTCATATCTCTCCCAACAGTTCCCAAGAAAATCGATCCTACGATCTCCTTATAAATAATGCAGGTTTCAAGGCGACACGGGGTGGAGCATTCCTACGTGTTCCTCGCTAATGCGATGGGCTGGGAGAGCGGGAACCGGGAAACGATTGTCCACGGTCGGATCGTTGGCCAACGGCCGATCGTGGACAATTGTTGGCCCGTCTGGTGAGATTGATTTGCAGGTTGGAGACGCGGTGAGCGCGGTTGAACGATCGACGAATCGGTACACGGTGTGCATACGTGGCCGGGGAACGGAATTTAAACTGGGAATTTAATCGTACGCGGGTCTCGTCGTATTCGAATTTCCACGATTCGTAACGAATCTCGAGGATCCCACTCTGTTCTCCGAGGTTAATTAAACTTTGGAAAGCGATTAATCTGGGGACACTGTGTTTACTTCGATAATTCTGATATCTTGTTATTCGGTTATCAGCGATCAGGATAGGAAGGAAAGTTTATGAAATGTTTATCGAAGTTTTTTTTTAGTTAGTTAATCTCGATGGAGATAATTGGATTTGATATATTTTGAATCGGTGATTAATAGGTATCGATTGTGATAAAATTGAAAATATTGAAATAATATCGCGCGAATAAACTTTTGATCGAGTTTAAGTTGAGAAGCTATACGTGGTTATTGTTTTCTTTTTTTTTTTTTTTTTTGCAAATATCGTCGAATTGAAATCCTTGACAAGAAAGAAAGAAGGAATGCTTCGATATCCTTCCAAAAACTTCTTATTTTATTCTCCTTTAAAATTTCATTCCAGGCTAAGAGATTATTCCTTCTTTTTCGAACAAATCCTTCTTCAAGAACGGATTAACGGAATATAAAAGTTCCACTAATAACTTGAAACTATCTAAAATTATATAATTCAGGCGAAAGTATAAAATATAAACCGGAGAAGAACGCATTAATCTCTGAATTATTCGAGGCGGAGAACACGTGATAAATTCATGAAAAAATAAGAAGAAGAAACGAAAGAAAGATCCGCGAATCCGCATTAAATCAACGCGGTTTAACGCGGCAATTTGTCTGAAACTGATCTTGAATCTCGCGGAGGAGGCTAATTGGACAGGATCTCTGTAAAAGTCGGAGATCGGTCGGGGAAAATAGAAAGAAAAACGAAATTAAGCCCGGTACAAGATAAAAGGCTGAGAAAGTCTCTCTGGAAATGTTAATTGTCGGTGGAATCTGCGCCTCCATTTTCTATCATTCTCGTCCTTGTTCAAAGAGGCAGAAAACTCGTGTAACGGAAGAGGCAGCGAAACAATAAGAACAGGTCGCGAAAATAATCTCACGGTGGATCCCTCGCAATGCTCATTGTTCGGCGCGCAAGCCTGCGACGCGATATTTTCCGCGCGAATCGGGAACGAGGAAGTCCAAAAGTCCAAGAGTCGAAAGGCTTTCTTTTCTTCGGCCACGAAAAATCCCCTCCCCCCCCACGAATTTGAATTCCTACGGCTATGAAATTCCTTTGCCCGCTCCGTTACGAGCAACCGGCCTACGTGCAACTTATGATGCGGGTCACTCGCATCGTGGTTGACAAGAAAATAGATTCTTCTTGCGTTGGTGAATAATCACGGGTTTCTGCCTCGTTTATTCGTGGAGAGAAAAAAAAGAGAAATAAAATATTCGTCTCGAGAGTTGAAAAAATCGAAGAATTTTTATTTATTAGAAATTGTAATAGAGAAAAGAAAGATCGTGTTTGTTAGGAAATACTTGGATTCGTGAATCGTAGAAAAAGAAGAAAGGATCGGTGAAATGGAAGAGAGAGGCTTGTATGAAAATGAAGGGAAATGAAGGATATTTCTGTAAATTCTTTTTCTTCTTATCGAGGAGTTACGTTGAGAAACTTTCGAACAAGTTCGAAGGAGGCTTAAAGGATTTGCCTACCTCGAAAAAAGTTAAAGTCCCAATTTTCAACTTGTTGTTATATAAAATAAGATCCAACAGGGAAGATTCAGGCGATATCATTTGTTAATCGGTCGATTAGAGAATGAATCGAATTACGTCATAAGAATTATAGAGAACTCTATCTGGAAGAAGAGGGAATTTCGTCCAATTTCTTTCGTGTAGCATGGATGCGCGCACATCAGGTTTCTTCGTTTCTGCAAGGTCTATTCCAAGGATCCGTTTCTTTCGCCAAACATGGTCAGAGCACGATCGTGGTGAACAGTTTTGTCCCTGTTCGTCGTTTTTCGCGAGCCGAAACATCCGCTCGCTCGTTATTTCTTCTAGGAAACCGGCGAGGATCCCGCCGCATTCCGCCGCGCGAAATTTCAGAAAACCTGATCCTCCCTCCTCCCCCCGCTGCGTGAAATTCTTATCATCTCTCTGGTCGACGAAAGAAATGGAGTTTTCGATTTTTCTTCGAACAAAATAGAAGGAAATTTCGATTTAACGTTTTCAACGGATGAATAATAAAAATGCTGCTCTCGTGCGAATTAATAAATTAATTCTTCGTAACGGTAAGAGATCCAATAATAAAAAAAAAAAAAGAAAAGAAAAACTGGATATTTTATATTCTGCAAGTTTTTTTTCATCCAATTTAACATTTCCAAGAGATCCACATTTTTCTCCTCCCGTCTTACGTACAAGAATACTTCACTCATCTTCTTTCGAAAAATGCGATTCTTTCCTTTCATCGAACGCGTTAAAAGAAAATATCTCTATATTTTAAATTACTTTTACACGCGGCTCCTTGTACGATTTGTTCGTTTTGAAAATAAACATAAAGGAAAAATTGAAAAACATCGGTAAAATCGCGTAGAGGGAAGTTGGAATTAGAAACGACGGGGCCGAATTCCTGTCGGTTTTCGGGCCGCTCGCAAGCGGAACTGCCGCGCGCCTCATCGGTCTTATTGTCTCCGGGCCCGAGGTGGCGAACCTCAGTTCTGCTCCAGTACTCTTGGAAGTAACATCGCGCACTCCTTTCCGCCTCTTTCTTTCGCCGTTATACCCCGCCCCGTTATACTCGCATCCCTGCAAAGGAATCCGTGAAACGAACTCCTGATCGAACTCTCCCTCCTCCTCTTTCTTTTAAGTTATTCAATTTAAAAAAGAAAGATTTGTCCGTCGCGTAGACCGGGCGTTGTGTAACCGCAAGGTGATTGCCAGGGTCCAAGGTGGAGGTGGAGGATCGCGTATGTATGTACGTATCGATAATTGAAACGTGCACGCGAAGGACGGAAGTCGGACGGGCTGCGTGAAAGCAGGTCTCGTTGGTGAAAATCGACGAGGAGGGACCTCGCGTTTTCTTTCACTTTTTTTCTTCTTCTTCTTCTTCTTCTTCTTCGTCGTCGAGTGGAAAAAAGAGGAGGAGGAGGAGGAGGAGGAGGGCTCGAAGAGAGAGAAGAAGGTGGATGTCAGTTGTGGATGAAGCGAGGTTCGAGAGATAACCGGTTTCGCGGCGTTTAGAAATGGAAAATACCCGACAAGGACGGCAGAGGCGCGCGAAAGTCGCTAATACCTAATCAAGAATGAGGATGGATTGAAAGGAAGGGGAGAACGCGCGGGGGAAAAAGTTGATTGGAAACGTTTCGAAAGGTTGTGAGAATTTTTCTCATTACTCTTCTAAACAGGTATTTGATAATTGATGGCGAAAGATTGAATCTTTCTCAGTGGGATCTTCGCAGTTGGAAACATCGGAAATGGAAGTTTAAAAATTGAAAGACAACTTAAAAACAAATGCTCGAATAAAACCTGCATTGTTCGAGAAGAAGTTGAAAAGGAAGTAATGGAAAATTAAAAAGTAATCTGGATGCGCATAATGGAAAGGATCACAAGCCTGGACACAACGCTCGAAGTAAAAACTTTACGAAACGTATCCGAGGTAAAAATCCGAGCGATAACGATCGATGAATAGACGAAAGAAAGGAGCGCAGAGGATCATCATCGAGAAGGTTAGAGAAGGTATCTTAATCCGCCGGAAGGCGAGAGGCACGACGCAGAGTGGGAGGGGCGGCGATCGGGAGGAGGATATATCCTCGAGCAAAGATCGATGTCTGTTCGCGCTCGAGCGGCCTCGAAGCCGCCGTGTGATAACTGATAAATATACCGGTCTCTCTTGCGGTACCCGGTTAAGAGAATGCGGTTACAAACGCGAAGGGGGAAAAAAAGGACCACGGTGGTAGATCTTTAATGGTCGTCGATACTTTCGTTTAGAAAGCGCGGCCGGCCGTGTCAGTTGGACGGGGATTCGCGATCGTGCCGCGTCGTTCCCTCCGAATTCGAATACATCGAACCGTGCGCGCCGATTTCGACCGGTCGGCCATTGTAAACAAACCGTACGTTTCTCGAAAATGTGCGCGGCGACACGCGCTCCGATGAATATTCGAATATTCATTCGACGAAGGGAGAAAGTTTCTGCCGCGTGAATGAGTAAGTTGTTTCTTCGACCAATCTTTTCTTTCTTTTCATCATAAAATTTTCTTCCCCATAAAGTTTTCCTCGATCGCAGATAATCTTTCGAGATCTCTTTGCTTACGTATACGATGAATTTTCTATCCAATGTTTCTTCATTCGTCGAGATTTGTTATTTTAAAATCGAACTTATCGTTAAAAAAAATTGATATATTTGGAATTTTTTGAATTTTTTTTTTTGTTATTTTTTGAATTTAAATGGATAATGGAAGAATTTTTCACGCATTTATGTAGATTTTTTTTTTTTGATAAATTCTCGATCATCTATTCATTTATTGAGAAGAGATTTACAGAGAGATTTTCGTATCTCCATGAAAATTAATATAGAAGAGAAAGAACTTAAAAATCGGGTTTTTTTTTTATCTTGCTATAGAATATATTCATGATAAGGTAAAAGTAATGTTAACGATGTCAGACTTATGCTCGTTGACCCACTTTAAAATGAAATCGCAGAGACAGCTGTTCATCGCCAGCAACGAGTTATTCTTCCTTTCGAGATGTATAAAGATTCAAAGAGATGTAGCGTGATTAATTAAATTAATTAAATAATATCGACTCGATTCATCTAGTTTCCGCTTCCTATCGAAATCATTAAACCGTGATGAGAGAAATGAAGGAATATTTAATTAATAAAATATACACACATATATATATATATATATATAGAAAATTCTTATACAACACGAAGATATTTAACGAAGAGAACGATCAAATATATGAATTTAATCCGTTCGATTAAATCATAATTAATTTTAAATGGATATTAAAGTAACGTTTGAATCTTCCTTTTCAGGAGTGGAAAATGCAGCTACCAGTTCGGGACAAGGTTTGGCCGCGGAGAAAGAAGAGGCGAACACGATGGAAACGTTTCGAGATTTTGTCGAGAAGATAGTGGTTGGTTTGATCGGCAACATGGACGTGCCGATCAATCGAGTGGTGTATCATCATTCGCCGTGTAAGTTGAAACGCATAGAAATATTACATACAAGCACGTGTACGCGAATCGCTATCATCTTTCACTCAAACTCTGTGAAAATTTTACCCTGTGTTATTAATTCTTTTTTTTTTTTCTTTTCGAATTTCGAAATAGATTGAGAAAGGAAGGATGGAATGATTGAAAATCGTCGTTATCCAACAATTTTCTTGCATTCCGTTTTATATTTTTATAATAACAAGCGAGTCAACCCGGGAGTCAACTTGTTTCTTATAAAATATAACTAATAAACAATGCTGCCATCTGCAGAAGAAACTGGAATACGTGGAAGCAAGAAAATTGCTTACGTATCTCGTAATTCCTTTCTCGGTCTCCGAGACTGGTGATATTTCTACCAGATGCGTGTCTGTCCACTATACTTAACGATTAACTGCCGACAATCTCGATCGCTTTTTTTCCATCCATGATCCATGTTTAAAACGCGGCACTGCCCGCTTACCAATTAACTACCGAGCGTCTCGATTGCTTCTTTGACGCTTGGTTGCTCCTCGCGCTGGAGGAACCAAACGTTTCTTTTGCGAAAATAAAAGTTAAAGGAGAGCATCGTGTGCACAGGGTGTTTCATTTCGCATCGAGATCGTAAAGCATCGAGAATTACGAATAAAAAGGAAAGGAAAGATTACTTTGAGAATGTATTTGAAAACACATATCGCATGGCGGTTAATTATCCCCGTGAACTTTTAACGATCTCGTTTTCCCTTTTTTTTTTTTTTTTATTCTTTAACGTGATATTTCTGGAAAAAAATTATTCCCGTTTGAAACACTCTGTAGTTTCTCTAACAGTCGCAATTAAGCGAATATAACAGTACTCGATGAAAAGAACAATCGTGACGTCCAGTTTATAATTGCACGTTTCCTCGCATGAACTTAACCATCCGACTAACTCTTGTTTAATAGATGGCAAGCTTTTGGAAAAACACCTTGTACCCTTGATCGATGCACTCGCGAGTTTGGCTATAGTACTGCAATCAGCTTTGGAGAGTAAGTACTCTTTTATGTCTCTCATATTGCTAACATTAAATAAACTCTGTGTGTTGGCATGCATTGTTTTGTTTCACAATCAATTAAATTTATTATGCAAGATTGTCTTAAAAGTTCTTTTCATTACTTGCGCATATAATTTTGATACATTAATTTAATTTGACATTAAAAATTAAGCAAATTTTGCAAATAAGTTACAGTTCATTTCGAAGGAATGCAATCCTGAATGTTCTAGAAAGAAATGGAAATCTGAATACACATAAAATTTTGATAAAATATATCGGAATATAAATCATCTCAATCTTTTCTGCGAGAAATAAAATCATGACAATTTTTAAAGAATAGACAATCTGTATAATGAAAAAACAAAAAGAATTTTTAAGACGATTGTCTTAAAACTTCTTTTTCTATTTAAAAGAAGTCAAATATTCTTTAAAATCCACGTGCATGCGTTTCAAAGCAGCACACGTGTATGATTTTAAGATAGTCGCATCGTTGCGCAGCAATGTAAAGCAGGTTGCCCTGCCTCAGGCACCCAACCATTCCATTCAAATAACATACATACAGGCGCGTTTTTCGAAAACGACTCGTAACAATATAACGTATTTCGAAGTATACGTTTCATGATTTTTTATGATACATTTACAATAATTTGTTCTAAAAACTTCGTGTCTCTAACTCGCGCTACTTCACTACGTAATCTTGATATACTTTCGTGATCAATAAAACTCGTCATAAAATTGAAATATTACATTAATTAATAATTTTGAAATAAAAAATATTGTTGTGAATGATAAATAATATTAATGATCGTTTAAATAAGAAATATGCGTGTAGTTCAATCAAATTAATTAATAATATTCGATTTAAATATTAATGATCGTTTAAGCGAAAAATATACATCATATATCTTTTTTTTTCTTCTTTTTTTTTTCTCGTATTAAACGTAATCGTTCGATGATGAACGAATTAATATTCGAATGAGTTGGCTTTGCAACAGCAAAAAAATCATTTATTATCCATGTTTTTTTTTCTTTATTTTCCAACTTTAATACGCATTTGAAAACAAATCGATGCAGTTATATAATAAAAAAAAAAAAAAAGAAAAAAAAACAAAGAAACTCATTCGATGCACATAATATTCTCCAATAAATAAAATAAATCCAATATTAAAATAATTTTTCTGACATCTTTGTGCGGGATAACGTTAATTGAGGAAATCTTGTTTTCATTGAATCGCTGAATAATGGAAATGATAGTGGAAATTTGCGAAGGATTCGTCGTCGAATAAATGGAAAAAAGATACGAGAGATAAAAGCGTGAAACGAGAGCGATGGATTCGTCCTCGGATGACCGATTGATCGATTTAACTTTCCATCGAAAAAATCGCAGTTTCATCGGAATAAATTCATCCTTTTCCGTGGTCCTTTCGCTAAAAGACTCTGGATGACTCGTAATTCGAGAAATCGGGCGAAAGGACGCGATTCGAATAAAGAAACGAACGAAATTCGTGATCTTTTTAAAAATTGGTACGTCGCGTTAGTACAATCAGAGTTCAAGGAACGATTATATGGATCATCGTGACAAAATTTCGCGTGTCTCATATTCATATCTGATTTAACTATATTATAAAAAAAGAATATAATTTAAATAAATTATCAAGTTGTATAAAAACGACATAAGCTTGACATATAAAAGATACATATTTGCACGGATTGTTCGTGTTGAAAAACGTGCATATGAAAATCACGACGCTCGTTTGCATATCCTTTACGTAGAATGACTTGCCGAAAATATTTTTAAATTGAAATTTTTTTTAATGCTATAAAATAATATTTAATTTGAATATTTGATGTGCATCCATAAGCACACTTAGAATTAGAGATAGATGGATGGTGACAAAAGAAGTACAAACGAGAAATGTATGATTAATTATGATTAATTATCGTCAATTTTGGGTTTAATTATTATATATTATTATATTTATGAATATTTGAAATAAATTTTTATTTGACAGGAAAAAAAGGACAATCGGGATCGATTGACACACAACTTAAACATCATTTGAATATATAATATTTAAAAAAAATGATTATTCGAATAATTTAGAATTATTCAAAATTAGAAAATTATTATGCATATTAAGATAGTGATTTGAATGGAAAAGCGATTTGTCTTAATTTAAATAATTCTTTATTTCAATAGTTAATTTCTCGAATAGTTGAAAAAATAGAATTGCTCAATGTTAAAAATAAGAAGTAAGGATTTTAATAAAAGCACCTATCAATGTTATTTTCAAACCAATATTGAATTTTCTTTTTATTCTTATTTTTCATCAAACATTTCAAGACGAGAATAAAACGAATTAAAAATAAAGAACACGTCATGAATTATTTAAATACCTCGCTGCACGAACTTATTGGATGATTCAATCTATGCAGATTTTAGGTCATAACCTTTTTTCAATATACATCATTATTTTCAATTCAAATTTTAAGGAAAATTTCGACGTTTATTCATTTTAATAATAACTACATTACCATTGTAGCATTGTTCTTTATACAAGTACGAATGAAAAAACTACAAATATCTTGCTATTGTGAAAAAGATCAAGAAAGCTGACCTCCCATTAACAATAGATCACTAAAAAGATTCGGCTAATATTTCCTCTTCCAATAAATTCTATTTTCTGAAGCGTCATTCGTCGTTGTATTCACACTATGTGTCAAAGTCTAAGTTCACGTATCGTGTCATTTATTCGATTAATGTTATCTTATTTTTTTTTTTTTTTTTTTTTACTTCGTGTTGATATTACTACACAGATTTAAAAGCGTAGCAATATATATTTATGACCAGAAATTATTTCAACACGAAATTAATCAACCATTGATTTTCAATTGTTTTATTTTACCTTTCTTACTTATTTAATTTTTAATAATAATTTCTTAATTTGTATTCCATATGATATCGCGCGAGTCTAATTTTATTTTTTTTTTTTTTTTCTAAAATGAATCCGCGATATCTCAATCGAAGGACTATCTAAAGCGAAACAATGGTGGGTATAACGATCTCGAAACAATAATCTTAAATAGCTTCTTTGTAGGTTACATAAGAAAATGAGTCAACGGGATCGAGAGAAAAAAAATTCACCTTATCTTTATTCCGGAAAAGATCACTTTTTTTGTTCCTCTTCCTACCTGATAGAATTAAACGATTAAATACGCGTTGAATATTATTGAATTTAATTACACATCCGCGTATTCGTTCGAAGGAAACTTGGTCTTCATTGAATTTTCTCCCATCAATCAAATTATTATCTGCGTATTATATTTTAAAGTAAAGTCGGTTATTAATAAACTTGAATTTGTTGATTGAACAAAATTGATAATGATGATCGAATAGTTGTTTGTAATCTTTTCATAAGATTAAGTGAAAAGAAATGATGATAATAATTCTAAATTAATAATAAATATATGAGATAATAAATAAGATATGAATATTAAATTGTAATAAGCATATACTGCTTAATACAATTTTGATATTTATATATAAATACGAGTATAATTTTTCTATTATATTTTAATCCAATTATTTCCTGCTCATAGTTAAATATAATGCAGCTATAAATTACACTTATTAGTTAGATGGAAAATTTATATGTGAATTTCTTTCATCAATATTTATCACGCACAATTTTATCGATGCATTTGCATACAATGAACCGGTTCCTTCCTTCGATTATTACAGTTTACAGAATTCGATTAAATAGAACGGAGTTGTACGAGATTGTTTCTCGTTCCTCCGCGAACGTTAAATTCTCATTTATAATAAAATTTGACGTCAACGACATATTTCTATGCACATTTAACAAATATACATCAATTGTTCTTAGAAATTTCCTTTAATTTAAAAATTACTTAATTTCTTCGTCATTTACCATTTACATAAACTTTCCCTTTTTTAAACTCGTATTTGGCTTCACAAGTGAAATGAATAATTCATTCATAGTTTTTTTTTCTATCCGTATATCAATGCAATCGTTGACAATGATCAATAGAAAAAAAAAAAAAAAAAAAAAAAAAAGAACTCTGAAATTTTTTTCCTTTTTCTTCCAACGAGTAACTATTTTATCGAAAATCGTTTCATCTTTAGATTTCTTTTAGAAGTTTTGAAAAATTTCTAAACATTTTTATCGGGGAGAATCTCGAAATTTCGAGCGCGTGTCTTAATTATAATCTTCTGACGCAAGCGTAAGAAGAAGAAAAAAAAAGAAGAAGGAGAAGAAGAAAAAAACAATCATCAATGATGCAAAATACATCATGTGACGGATCCTCGCCAATCGACGTCTCGCGGAAACGACGTCTGTCGATTTTAGAAAATGTAGGTTCCCTCGCAAAAGTATCCCCCACTAAAAGGAAGCCGTACCGAGCGGCGTATGTGGGGTACGTCGGTCGTGCATCAGACTGCTTTGGCAAAGACGCACAGTCGTGAGCGGCGCAGGCCTGCGATTACACAAACACATCAGTTTATTCCGTGCGCTCCGCCGATTCCACGTTTCTTATTTGATTAAATTACATATCGTGTTTCCAATTATAAATATTCGCGAAATACTCGCGAGAACGAACGATATCCCCGCGTGGTCACCGATCGATCAGTTTTACCCCTTTGAAAAGCGCCTAGAAGTGAAAGTGAGAATTAAATATATCTGAAACGACAGTGTGATCCTTCGATAATAATCGTGAGCATCGTAGATTGTAATTGTCATATTAAAGAGAAATACACACACACAGAGAGAGAGAGAGAGAGAGAGAGAGAGAGGGCGAGGAGTACAGTAGGGAGG